GGACTTGGGATTTTGATTGAGTAATCCTAATGCCAATGCCACTTGGATGGAATTTTTCAATACTACCACCTTCGGTGGTATTGAAAAATTAGTCTTGGGATTAAATATTTTGACCTAATTACCCTTCATTCCTCTCTCGCGTCTCTCCCAACACCGACAATGGTAAAGAAGGCTTCCAGTAGTGATGATGCAATCCTAGCCGAAACTGTTGTCGTTACCATCTCTAGACAAAGCATCAACAAATTAATAATAGATCAAGAAATCAAGGAGCCCATGAAATCCAAATCAAGGGTTTTTTCTTTTAGGTGAGAAGCAACAATGAGGACATGACAATGCTTCAATCTATTATTGTTTGATTTTTGGAGTGCATTTCTAGGCTTCAGGCAACCACCAGCGTTCCTTTATTTTAGGGCAAGGGAGAGAAGGAGGAAAGGGGGAGATACTTTGCTGATACAACTTCTTGAAATTATATGAGGAGGAGGAACATGATGAAGATAGCAGGAAAAAGGAAGAAGATCAAATCTAGTTTTTTGTGGAGTCGCCAGACAATCACAAGGATGAGAAAAAGATGAGGATAATTATGTCTTTTGGTCTTCTTTTTGTTTGATTAGAGCTTAATTTTTTTATTCCCATTTGTGCACCAAACATAATTTTAAAAAGCTATTCCCACTTCCAATCTCATTACCATTCCTTTAAAATTCCATGCCTCATACCAAATAGCACCTGTGGGTTTAAATATTGCATCAATATTATGTTTTCAAAATATCACAAATGCATATTTTAAAAATATAAATAGATATTCTAAAAACATATATTGATATTCTGAAAATGTAAATGAATATTTTGAAAACATATATAGATATTTTGAAAACATAAATGAATATTTTGAAAATTAGTTCATTTTTCATAAAAAACACTAAAGGATATTCTTAATTGTCACTATTGTCATATGTAAAGTTCAATCACATCAACTTAAAATATAAAAAACAACAATTAAACACTAACAAATTACATTTATCATTAAATAATAATGCGTTTTTACATCCCTTGATAGCATAAACTACATTACATTGCGGTAAGATAATACAAGAATTTGGATATTGTTTTCCAAACACCTTTAAGTGCAAGTGCAACATTCTCATGAAAACACATTCATTTATCATATTATGTAATTCATACAATAAGACTCACAAAAAGTAGACTTCTATATCCTAAAATATGTATATATCTAATCACGTGTGCTTTATAAATGGAAATAATTTCATAGACATAATATTTACAAATAACTCATTCTAGCGATATTCATAATATATTCATTCTAGCCTCCTTCTGCATTGAATTAGTACAAACTTTTACATCTCATATGGATTTTGCAGCAATTACATTTTATCAGTCCCAATCTCAAAGCAGCAAAGCAAAATATAAGTTGCCCTCGAAGTTTGGATTATAGATACATAATAAAAGTAAGGAGGTCTAATGGAGCTATTCTACTCTCTTTTTACATTACATTACAACAAGCCTCTCTATTACTTTTTATAGCTACTTTACTTTCTTTTTTTCTTTCCTTACAATCAAGCAATCCTTATGTTGATGCCATCTTCTTTGAATTGTTGTGATTATCTGATGGTGATTTGAGGTTTTTCAATGATTTTGCCAAGATAAGAAAGCACGCATGCAAAAGTTTGGCACTGCTTATACGTACCACTTAGAATTATCAAAAGCCTTTTGACCATTACATTTCCCTAATTTTATGAGCTATCTCAAAACTTGTGGGTGTTAACATCTTAGGCATGCCAAGATTGCCCTTAGGCCCCTTGCCCCTAATCACAGCCACTTTCACCTGAAAAGATAATATATCACAAGAAAAAATGAGATATTGTATAGGGCAGTTAGAAGATATCAACTTGAAAAAAATGCAGAATAGATATAACTCCCTAAAGTAATTATCAAGACTACTGCAAGTACAAGATTTTACAATGCATAAGGTGACAGCTATAATAGTTAAAATTCTGTAAGTACTTGACATGACTAGATGAAAGTCAAAGTGATTAAACCTCGTTAATTTAATAAAATGGATTCTAAAGTTGGATTCATTATAAGGTAATAATTATAAAACTTTAATTTCAAGACTTGCACACAAAGCATAGAATTCAGATAGCTCAGCAAATTGTTTAGAGGATTTGACATATGCTTTGAAGGGAATGGCACATGCCTTATATGGTAGCTAAAAGAAGCTACCTAAGATCATAGAAAGCCCATCATAAATGTCCCTGTACAGATCAAGCTATCTAAGATCACCAAAAATTTAGAAAGATTAACTTTATTTTTTTAGTTAGTCCCAAAAAAATCCAGTTTCAGTAAATGCTACTTACCTTACATAACTTCATTTTCTTCAATCTCCATAACTCACTCAACTATCACCATTTCTTTTATCGATACAAACCAGACCACATATAGCAAGATTAACTTAAACTCAAACATTTAGTAAGATTTGAAGCACATAATACGGGATTTCCAATATTTAAGGAGAGACGAAAAACAAATGTAAACTTACTATTGCATAATTGTAATAGCAACCAAATGGTATCGTGACAAATTCAAACCATATGAATTAGTTATACTGCTAAATCGCAGAATCAAATAATTGAAATAAAATGGGAGAATTTCCTTAGACAATCCATATTTAAGCAATGAGCCCCTTTAGTTCCATCACTTAGCAGCAAGCTAAAATCATATGGTGCTAAATATTATCGTTTGTGATTCAAATATTTTGGTGAAGAATCAAAATCATGTCTATCATTATGCCAATATTGTACTCAATACCAAACTAAAAGAATGATTAAAGTTCATAGTCAAGTGGTAAAATAGCAAACTCAAAAGCCAACTTTGATAGGAAGCATTCCACCACCAAATTTGGTACCACCATTGTTGTGAAACTCCATCCAGGCCCTATTCTTAGAGAAGCACGAGACGTTCATCTTCTCAACACTGGTACGACACGCAAGAGGGTTTGTCCAAAAATTAGAGAAAATGTGGCCATGCAAACATGAATCCTGTCATCAATTGAAGAGAGTAAGGACAAAGGAGTAAGGACAAACAGGAGGAGGAAGGACAAAGAAATAAGGAGAATTTGGGAGTCGCTTGATATGGCAATGGGTGTTAGAATCTGGAGGGGAGATGAGAGACGATTTGATGGGGTATTTTGGTCAATTTAAAGTTATGAATTAATGCCACCTAAGGATCTCAATTTGTAATATATTGCAAGTCCTTCTTAGCAAAATAAATTTGGTCAGGTTTTTATGAGCAATTTTTCCCTTTTCCCCCCATTTTGTTTTCTTCTATGTAGTGAAACTTAAATAAGGTGCACATAAGGCATAATGGGCTGAATCGGGTTTGAACGCGCTCTGATGTTCGATATGCTTTTAGATTTAGTTGGAAGACCCGTAGGCAAATCAATTCACTTGCCTTGAGAAACCATTAAGCAGTAGTGGATATTCTAAGCTTACCTCATATCAAGTTACGAAGACCTAATGAGGGCAAAATTAAATTTGGATCGAGCTGGATAAATTCTTTTAGGTGGCAAATTCTACCACAGAATTTCAATATTGTTACATTTCCAAGGCTCAAACTTAAATCCTACACATAAGTTGAAACAATCCTTTAGTAGTTGATCCAAACTGTGGATGATTAAAAAAACTAGACTTTAGGACTCGTTTCATGGTGCATGAGGAACTTTGATCTCTTTATATAAGATTAGAAATCTTCTTTGAATTTTTAGACTGAAAAAACTTACACTGAAATATAAATCATTTTGTTTGTGACTTAAATAATACAAGTTGTCCTAGATTTTTATCTCACACACACACATATTAAACTATTCATGATCATTTTTGTGTTAAAAAAAGTTTTAATAAATTAGGTTTCAAAACTCAACAAGTGAGTGCATGCTTTCGAACTCTAAGAGAGAGCTGCACTTAATCCCTCACTAGCAAGGTCTCATGTATTAATGATAATATTAATTTACTTGAGATTTTAAATTTTTTTAATTTGTAATACTTGAAAATATTTATTGATAAATACTTATCAAATTGAAAATGAAAATTTTAAAAAAAATTAATTATTTAGTCCTTGTAGTTTTAACCTAATCATAACTCAGTTTTTAAAGTTTTAACTTGATTGTAAATTAGTCCCTAAACTTTATTTCTTACAATTTAGTCTTTAAAGTTTTAGCCTCTTAAATATTGATTCCTATATTTTAAAAAATAAAATTATAAAGATTAAAAATATTTTAAAATTTATTACTAATATCTTAAATTACTAAACCCTTTTAATATTTATAAATATTAAAAGTTTAAAATATTTTTAATTTTTTAATTTTATTTTTTAAAATATAGGAATCAATATTTAAGATATTGAAACTTCAAGAACTAAATTGTAAGAGAAAAAATTTAAGGACTGATTTACAAGTCAAAACTTTAGAAATTGAATTAGAACAAGTCAAAGTTCAAAAATTGAGTTACAATTAGATTAAAACTATAGGGACCGAATGATTAACTTTTTCTTAAAAAAATCTCAATATCCTATAATATATTAGAAATTTTTTATACTATTTAATCATTTATTATTATAAATACACAGGTTATATTTACTCATTTATTCACGGTAGAATTCTCTTGGTACGATTTTTTCATTTATTAACTAAATCTAATGAAAAATAACCATACTATTTGCAACTCAAAATTGATAATGATATAACTTTGTGCTCTTTGTGTAATATTTATTGATAGGCATTACTGCATGGGGGTAATTCTGAATTTTCAATTCTAATTATAATTAATGCATATAAAAATAAAATAAAAATGTGACACTTGATTTATTTATTTTTTAATTGAGCCCAATTAAATTGAAATAACAAGGAAATGATAATAAACTACTCTGAGCAAAAATAAGAAATTAAGAAACTTTAAACCAAAAACAAAAGCCCGGCATCTGGGCAAATAGCTCATTTTACTTCGCTACCAATTTCAAAAGAGAAAACCTCACTGCTCAGTTCCGGTCATGCCGGAGCCGGATGAACTTAGCCAACCAGAGCACTAGAAAGAACGCCGGACGAAGTTGTATTGGTCGAAGTCCAATCGACTAAACATTTTTGCATACAGATAGCGAGCACGAGATATATGGTAATAGATAGTAGAAGTTTTAACTGATAATGGCTGGCATTTTCAAACAGCCGGGTGCGTTTGCAATCACACCGCACAAAGTTTCAGTTTGCATAATCCTCAAGATATACGCTCCACCAGGGCAAATATCGGTCCCCTTTCCTTTCTCTTCCGTTGCTCAGCACAACCGGCTTGGGTTGTTCTTGTTGGCCCTCACCAAGGTACGTCGTACATTAAAAAAAAATCATTTTTCTTCAGTTCGAGTTATTGGAAAGTGTTGAAAGGGGTAATGCTGTTGAATTTGGACATATTGAGCTGCAGTTTTAATAGGGGTTAAAGGGTGGTTTCAGTGTAACAAAAGAAATTCCCGAAATTCTCATGCTCTGGGGGGAGAAGTATAGGTTTTGGTTGGTAAAAATGTTAGTTTTGGCTTCTTATGGCCCTGCATCCCCCCCTCCGTTGGTTACCCTGAAATATCCAAGGTGGGATACTGAAGATAGGATTGTTATTAATGGTTTAAACAGTTTGTTAAACATTATGAGCTATCTTGGGAGACAGTGAAATGAAATGGGTGTCTAATAAAAAGCTTTGTTGGATTGTAAATTGCCTTAATTTTTACCAGTCAAATATTTTATCTATGCTTGTTGCTTCAAAGTATTGTTACAATGCAGTCCTGCGATGATATCTTGGAGCCGAAACTGGATGAACTCATTAATCAATTGAGGGTGGTTGGTGGCTTCTCAAATCATTGGTTTATTGATCATTTGACGAGCAGACTATCATCTTTGTTATCACCTGATGATTTGTTTAACTTCTTTACAGAAATGCGAGGTTTGTTGATTTGCATAATTGTTGCCAGTCTTCACCTTCTTCACACTTTTTTATTCTGCTCGCTCCTTTGATGTTGTTATTTTACTTGTGTACCTGTAATTATTGCTCATTTGATAGCTTGGCTTTTTAATTTAATTTATCTCTGTTCAGGAATACTTGCAGGTCCTGATTCAGGTGTTGTGGAGGATGATCAGGTGATGTTGGACCTAAACAGTAATCTGGGGATATTTCTTCGACGTTGTGTACTGGCATTCAATTTGCTATCATTTGAGGTTTGATATTTTCATACTTCCTGTGGGTTGAAGCAATAGTGGTTGGTTGGTTTGAATGTTCACTTCAAGTTGCCTTGAAGAAAGTTTTAATCTTCCATAATTTGTGCCTCCTTAACCTTGATGTCCCTAAATAAAACTTTCTTACAAATGACTTCTCTTCTTTTGTGCTTGTTTATTTTGGTTTTGAATATGCAGGGTGTATGTCATCTTTTAACAAGCATAGAAATATATCGTAAAGAAGCACCCTCAAGTTCTCCTTATGAGCAACCTTGTTTGGATGACTCTAGTAGCAATCTTGAGACATGTTCAGAATATGAGAACATGGACCTGGAGAACTTTGTGTATGAAAAGGTTTCAGAAGAAATTGAGGCAAGAAAGGAGGAGGCTAGTGAAAAAATTCCATTTCATCTTCATGCACCAAAAACACTTTTGGGTTTAGTTGATGGTACAGGCATCTGACTTCATTCTCCTGTTGATGTTTTATATTATTGCCCTTTTGTTTAAGAAATATGACAGCTCTAAGACTTGTAGGATGAGATTGTGAATATCTCAGAAAATTAAATTGGGAATCCCTTGGGACTTTGAACCTAGAAGAAAGCAATCTATGATTGAGTTTAATAATTAATAAAGATAATTAATTACTCTGTTCATTCTCTGATCTATGTTCATGGTGCTAATTTAGAAGCTAACCCATTCAAATTGCTTCAAATGTTATTTCTGCAAAATCAATTTCTTGATTCTGTAACCTTTGACCATGCTACTGACTTAGATACTTAATATAAGGTCAAAATTGTGTCAAATCCTTAGGCTCATGCTAAATAAAGGTTTGACTTGGCAGTTGGCAACTTGATGTTGTCAACATCTGTAAGACTCTGGTGGTCAATGAAACCTTCTATGGTTCCTCCTTTGGTATAGGATACTAGAATTTTATCATCTAAGGAAATTCAGTCTGACTTCTCTTTTGGGTTGCTTGCCTTGTGCCTTCACTTTCAGATCCCTATTTAACACATCAGTGTAACTGGAATTGTATTAATGTCTGGTGCTTTTCTGCTCCATAAAATTGATAATGATGTTTTGAGCTCACATGCAGATATTGATGTCCCTGCTGATATGGTGTCCAAACATAGTGAGAAAGGAAGAGAAGCTGGTTCTTATGGAGATCCTACAACTACAAGTAACATGCTACCAGATATTGATCTCAGCAGCGGGATATTTCTGCGAACAAACTGGCAAGTACAAGGATACTTACAAGAGCAAGCTGATACCATTGAAAAGTATGCATCTTACAGATCTGGAACTTTACTTCATCTATTGGTTCATAAGCTTATCTTAGAGCACATGTCTATTAACTGCGGGTTATATTATTGTCCTGTTGCAGGGATGGTAGCTCTGTCTCTTTGAATGGGTTCGAAATTATCCTCCTGCAGCTACAGAAGATGGCACCTGAACTACATAGGGCATGTTCAATTGATTAACTATATTCATTCTACAAGTCTTTTTTTCCTTTCCCTAAATTATCTTTTGTTTCAATCATTCAATACAGGTTCACTTCTTGCGCTATTTGAACAGTCTTTCCCATGATGATTATATTGCTGCTTTGGAGAATCTTCATTGCTATTTTGATTATAGGTAATTTAAAAGTTAGTTTGTTTATCCCATCTTTTGAGGTATTTGACTGTGTCTGGTTGTTATTTAATCATTAGATGATTGATCACATACAAGACAAGTGGAAAGAAAGCATCAATATTTTGCATATTCCCATCTCTTACAGTTGAGCACCACTTCTTAGGGAACTTGCTTAATCCTATTGCAACTTGTCCTGGGAGTGGTGGAGGACTTGATGCAATGCTTCCACCTTCCCAAGTATAAATGAACTATTTTCACTTTTACAAGAAGAAGCTTTGCTTTGTCCCAAATGTTGCAACATGTAATTCTTAAAGGAAACTTTAATGTGAAGATAGAATACAACTTAAGGTTGGATATGACTCAATTTTCAATGTGTTGGGGAACACTTTGTATGCAATAAATTTTTCACATGTTTAATTGTAGAAACCAAATTGCAGTGGATGAAAAAAAATAGGTGAAGTGTTGACTTGCCCCTGGAAGAAATTGACTGATGTTTTATAGCTTGGTCATTTCATGATTATTGTGTTGTTATATGCTGTTTGCCAAAAAAAAAAAATTGTTATGTTTTGCCTCATCTTCATCGGTAATAAATTGCTACATCAATCACAGCAGCTGGCTAATAACATTGTGAGCATGATCCCAACACTTTTCTGTTGCAATTGCCTTTGGCTGTTTCCATCCTGCCTGCATTCTACCTTATTTATCAACGCTTCATTTCCAATAAAGCCATATTCTCCAACTCCTCAAAAGTTTTTCAAAAAATGAAAAAAGTTATTCAATATATTTCCAATAAAGCCATACAAGATATGTATGAGGGGGTAAAAACTAGTATAAGAACGCCTAGTTGTCAAACAAAGGATTTTCTTATAAAGATTGGACTACATCAGGGATCATCTCTGAGTCCTTATTTGTTCAACTTGATTTTAAATGTTTTGACGGAACATATTCAAGAGGAAATCCCGAAATGTATGCTCTTCGCGGATGATATAGTTCTTATAGCAGAGACAAGAGAAGAGGTTAATTGCAAACTTGAGTTATGGAGGAGGACATTGGAGTCGAAAGGTTTTCGTCTGAGTAGAAGTAAGACGGAATATTTATATTGTAAATTTGATAAAGGAATATTCGACAATAATTTGGAAGTGAAATTTGGAGATCAAATTATACCTCAAGTGGAAAAGTTTAGATATTTGGGAGCCATTATTCAAAATGATGGCGAAATCAGTGGAGATATTTCACATAGAATTCAAGCTGGGTGGTTTAATTGGAGAAAAGCTAAAGGAGTTATTTGCGACCGTAAGGTGCCTAATAAACTTAAAGGAAAGTTTTATCGCACTGCTATCAGACCGGCAATGTTATATAGTAGTGAATGCTGGGCTCTAACGGGACAACAAGAGCATAAAGTTGGAGTAGCAGAGATGAGAATGTTACGATGGATGTGCGGACATACACGTAAAGATAAAATTCGAAATGAGCACGTACGCGAAAAAGTGAGGGTGGCACCTATTGAGGAAAAAATGGTAGAAAATCGGTTGAGATGGTTTGGGCATGTACAAAGAAGACCAAGGGAGGCACCAGTGAGAAGTGTGGAACATATAACTTTGAGTCCGATTAAGAGAGGTAGAGGAAGGCCTAAGAGAACATTCTTGGAAGTTGTTGAACGCGATCTCTTAATTAATAATATTCCTAAAAGCTTAATAAATGATAGAGCACAATGGCGTCTTGCAATCCATGTAGCCGATCCCACCTAGTGGGATAAAGGCTTGTTGTTGTTGTTGTAATATATTTTGTGTGAATTATAAAATAATTTCCCTACTAAACATCCTTTGCTGAATGTGTTTATTCAATGAAATATAGCCCAAAATTCAACTAGTCAAGCATGTTCCTGCTAAACAGCTTATGATGCCTAATAATTTACTGTAAACACATGAATAAATACATGGTCACTGAGTTTTTCATCACAAGTTGCTGAAGAGAAAGTCAAATAAAGTATCTATTGAATGAAAGATATTGACCTTGCTGAAAAAAGTTGAGTTTCTTAGGGTGGTCTACCACATTTTTGCCATATACCAGGAGTGCACTATGGGTTTTTATTTGCTTAAATGTTCATGCTTAGACTTATTAAGCTCCAAACTCATATTCATTGATATCTGATAATTTCCAAATCTTAGAATCTTTACAATTGAAATTGTAAAGATTTTGTTTATCTTGGTTTGCCTTGAATTTTACATCTTGTTGAAATCAGACTACTCTGGCTCCATTTACCCCCAATTCTATTGAGAGAATTAATAACAATGAAAAATTGGTGAAAGATGATATGTACATGTTGAACTTATTTGTGATCTGTGGGACAAAAGTGCAGGGACTGAAGGATTTGATTTTGTTCCTCCGGCTAGTAGTAATACCTTTGGAAGATATGAAATTGCTTTATTATGTTTGGGGATGATGCATTTCCATTTTGGGCATCCAAAACTAGCTTTGGAGGTAAAATGTTCAAATATACTCCTTACAGGCTAAATTTTAAGCCAGATCCTTTTAGTTGTACTGTTATTACTTCTTTATGCAATACTGATTTTTCTTGATTATGTTGTGCTTAGGTTCTGACTGAAGCAGTTCGTGTTTCTCAGCAGGTAATTATAAGAAACATGTTTTTCCCGTTTAACATTTTCAACTTGTAATTTTCAGCACTTGACCCCAACTATGAGATGACAGCTAATGCTTGCCTTATAGGACTTGATAGCATCCTTGTCCTTTATTCAAGGTTCTTTTACTTTGGTTACATGGGTCCTTTTGTAAATAATTAGACAGGATGGTTAGAATTGATTTTGGTTATGTCTCAACATAAATACAGAGTTATGACAAGGGTGATTTTAATATATTTATTATACTTGTTAATTGCTAATGTCCTTCCTGCTTGTATTGTCTCTAGGCCCCTAATTATCTATCGTTATATTCGATTGAAACCTGCCTAGTAAAAAATGAATCAAACAACAGGCAACCAATTTCGTTTTGAATCTTGACCTGGTCTTTGAAGCAAGATACTGGGTAATTTGTAACTTTGTAGATAGAACGAGAGAGATGGAACATACTTATTAGATTGTTTTCTCGGCATCCAGGGGATGCATGTTCAGAAACTCGGCTCTTTCATGATAATTTGATTCCCTGCTTTAGTTGCTGGTGTTTACGTCACATCTTGTTTTCATAGCATTGATTAGTATTAATTTAAAATTTTAAATACTTTTTGACTGATTCCTTGACTTTTAGCTATATATAGACATATAGAATATTCATTGAAGTATTTGTTGGCTGATTCCTTGGCTATTAGTTATTATATATTTAATCAGTATTTTCAGTGCATGCTAGTTGGGAGATTTAACCTATGGGCTCTGGAAAATTACTTAAGCCCATCACCTTTAGATTACACATGATATTATATATATATATATATATATAAACAATTCCTTGATGTTATTGAATTTAAAATTTGAAAAACAGTCTGATTTTTTTTCTTTTACCTTTAAAAAATTAAATTTAATTCTAATTTTCATTTTCCTTCTTTTTGGGTTATCACAATATATATATTAATTATAACTATATTTTTTGCAGAAAAAACTAACACTTCTTGTTATGCAGCAAAGTAATGATACCTGTCTTGCATACACCTTAGCAGCTATCTCAAACTTGCTGTTTGAAAATGGCATCTCAAGTACATCTAAGATGCTAGGATTGTCCTACTCACCTTTGACAAGTATAGGCACTACACTCTCGGTTCAACAACAATTGTTCGTGCTCTTGAGAGGTTCTTTGAAGAGAGCAGAAAGTTTGAAGTTAAAACGCTTGGTGGCTTCCAATCATCTAGCAATGGCCAAGTTTGATTTAACAGTAATGAAATTTTCTTTACATAAAATACTTTTTATTCCTGTTGCTATATCTACCTGAAAATTGTAAAAAACAATAACCAATTTAAATTTCTTTGCATCTTGAATCATGTAAGTGGAAATTGAAACTCCAATTGTTTCTGATGCTTCTTTATATTTCGCACTGCAGCATGTACAGAGGCCCTTATTGTCATTTGGTCCAAAAGCTTTCATGAAGCTTAGAACATCCCCGGTAAATGTATGCAAGGTAGGAGCATTCTTTCTGATTGTGTTTTGGTCAGTGGCTATTTTGGCACATGCATCATGAAGTCTTAGTTAATTCATTTTGTTGTCTCGTGGTTGGCAGGAAATCAGATTAAGTTCTCACCTGATTAGTGACTTTAGCTCAGAGAGTTCTTCAATGACAGTTGATGGTGCTTTTAGTACAGCATGGCTAAAAAATTTACAAAAGCCAATGGGTTCTCCTGTTTTGTCAAAGGAGAATGGATCTGGTGATAGTTCTAACATTTTTCAGTTCTGTGCACAACCCACATCTGTTCCTGGATCTGTATTGCAATTGTTGGGTTCATCTTATCTTCTTCGTGCAACTGCGTGGGAATTATATGGCAGGTAAAAGTGTTATGCATTGTAGGGGTAATTAAATTACTTAAGGCTGATTTAATTATTTTTGAAGGAAATTACATTTTGATAGAACATAATTCTTGAAAAACTTTCTGTTATGGCTTTCTCATAATCTGATTGTTTTTTATCATTAGCGCTCCACTCTCGCACATGAACACGCTGGTGCATGCAACTTGCTTTGCTGATGCATCAAGGTAGTTTTGATGCCAAAGTATCTCAGTTATGCCATTTTAATTTTGCCAAATCTGTACTACCTTTGTTCTGTTGTTTTTTTTCCCCCTTGTTCCTCCATTTTTCACGTGACTGGTTCTTGCTTGTTCCAGCTCATCAGATGCAGCATTAGCATATGTAAAGCTCATTCAACATTTGGCAGTCTTTAAAGGATACAGAGGTTTGGCCGGCTGCTTAAAATTGATTACACTCCTCATTATATATATTTTTTTCTGGCTGTACTTTTTTTCCCAATGTTCCACCTTTCTAATTAGATTGTTAGTCACCATGGTAGTTGTATAGCTTTTAGATGAGTTATAACAATATAGGAAATTGAACATGATGATGATTAAAGATCTTCAAATTGGCTTTCTTAATTGTAGATAGAATAAATGGTCTCTGCTCTCTTCTGCATGGATGTAGAAATCAAAAGAGAAGTCCCCTCCCTCCAATCATACACATCCTCCATTTTATCCTTGTTAATTTTTTCCCTCTTCTCTTTTCTAGAGGCCTTTTCTGCCCTTAAAATAGCGGAAGAGAAGTTTCTATCTGTCTCAAAATCACAAATCTTATTGCTCAAGTTGCAGTTACTTCATGACCGTGCTTTACATCGGTAAGTGGCCAGTGACATTTGCTTTCAGTATCTTGATCTCTGCTGGCAGCTGTCATGTCGTCAGATTAATGACTTATTGAACATCATGTAGAGGACAGTTAAAGCTAGCTCAACAAGCATGTGATGAGCTTGGAGTTCTGGCATCACCAGTAACTGGAGTAGACATGAAGCTGAAGACAGAAGCAGGCCTCCGCCATGCTCTCACATTGCTTGCAGCAAATCGATTTAGAGAGGTTTATTTTTCTCACATTCTAATAATCATCTTTACACACACATACACAGACAATTGCTGATTTTTTATTCAAAGCTTTGGTTCATGCATGTATAGTTCATATTTAATTGTTACTCCCTCTCAAGAGTTATGGAAAGTTAAAGCACCATAATTTTTATCTCACTGAATTCTAGTAAATGTCAAATTTTGACTTTCCACCTTTGAATGTTCTATGATGATCTTTACAGCATAGCCAGCTATTTACGCTTAATTTATACATGAAGACTTGCTTATATCTTCATGTTTGTGTGTGTGTTTTTTTTCCAGGCAGCCACTGTAGCACACTCCCTCTTTTGCATGTGCTACAAGTACAATCTGCAAGTTGAGAATGCTTCTGTTCTCCTTTTGCTTGCTGAAATTCATAAGGTAACATGCATTGTCTGACATGCTTGGCAGTTCATCTTAGTTTGGATACTTTATCAAGCTATTTTCATGTTATTTACATGCAAGTTGTTTGAGTTTTAACTTGTGATGACAATCCCTCTCCAATTCGTCTGTCCATTTCCACATGTGTAGAAAAGGGAAGTTGTCTGTAATCAGCAACCAACTACGCCTGTAAACTTGAATTTAATTTTTTAATCAAAGTAAATGAAAACTATCATTTATTTGTCTTGCCAGAAATCAGGGAATGCAGTTCTAGGCCTTCCATATGCGTTGGCAAGCCTCTCATTCTGCCAGTCATTTAATTTGGATCTGCTCAAAGCCTCAACCACTCTTACTCTTGCTGAGTTGTGGCTTTCTCTGGGATCAAGCCATGCAACAAGGGCTCTGAACCTTATCCATGGGGCCTTCCCTATGATTCTGGGTCATGGTGGTCTGGAGCTCCGTTCTCGTGCATATATTGTTGAAGCAAAATGCTATCTCTCTGACCCAAACTTCAAGGGTATGTTAAAGATATAAACTCTGTATTTTGTAATTTTCATGTCAAGTATGCTGTCTGCTGGTTCACACCTATGTTTATACGTGTTTTACAAACTTCCTTTTTGACATGAACATTTGTGTTGTTTTTGAAATTCTATAAACGAGATTATCCTAATTGAAAGGTGGGTGGTGGAAGAAAACAATGTTAAGTGGTTTACAAGATAGGTTTCATGCTGAAACTGATATGGGCCAGTCTCCATAAACGTTGTTATGGTTCAATCTTTGTGGCTTTTGGTCAATGGATGCTTAGGCAGCAAAAAAGTACTGACAATTTAAGGATGATGATTGTGTTTGAAGAACTTGTGTAGGACTGAGCTTTTTACATTTGAAATCTTTGGGAAGGGAAATAGGCTACAGATCTGTTACTTTTATCTATGGCATGCAATGTTATCACTGACGTAATTTTTTTTTTCCTTGGGTAATGGCACGTCATACATTTGCTGAGAAATGCTACATCGTGGCATTACCTTGGGTTTGAGTCCTTCTTTTCTGGCCTGAACATCATGATGGCATAATGTGATCATGAATTGTTTTTCCTGTTTGGTTTTCATCCATCCACCACCTTTCTTTTTCAAGGAGTTGTAACTTGGATGTTTGGATTAAGACCTCGCCTCATCATACTGGAGCTTTATGTAAATCACTAAATCTCACTTGCTGCTTTATCTTTTTCAGTCTCTGAAAATTATGAAGTTGTAATAGACTCTTTAAGACAAGCATCAGATGAGCTCCAACTTTTAGAGGTAAGCAAACTTTTCCTTTTTTAAATTATGTTAAACTGTTAAATTTTTCCATTTCAATTAAAGTCAGTCTCTTTTGTCGTCAAAGGTGACTCTTGCATGCAATGATAGGCGGTATATCCCACCTTGCATATGATGCTAAGTTTTTATATAGATGGAATCCAAAGCTACTTGTTGTATGTTGAGCAAAATAGACTGTTATGATGAAATTGTAACAAAAGTTAAATAAAAAGTATGCATTACATTCACGATGAATTGACTATTGATGGATAAACACAGAGAGACCAGGCCGTTTTAATGTCTCACACGCACTAGATGTAAACTGGTGTGATATTGAATGTTCCTCAGTCCTTGTTAAATTCCGTAATAAGTAAACTTGATACATTCAACGTACATTTTGTCCAAGCACCTCTCATCTTAACTATTCAAGCACTTGTTGGAATCCAAAGGTTAAAATGCATAGAATCCTTTTTTTTTAGGCGGGTGCAAATAACCCGCTTTGATTCAGGGAGATGTGCAATTTGTCTCAACTTGAAAAGTATTGGCAGTCTTTTTAGACTTATAGCTTTGTGCGATATAATCTCTCCAGTTATTTTTTCATTCAAAACACTATCATCTGTTCATGTAAGTTGAAAGAGGCTAAATTAGTGAGAAACATACCCAACTTGTCATCCGAAGTATTCAAACAAGGGTTTTTCGTCATGTCCATGTATGAAAAAGGTGGAAAGGAATGACATAAAATCCCTTGTTTAACACTTGGGATTGCTGGCTTAACTGTCATTTTATAGTCTCTACTGTAATAATTGCTCCTTAGTGAGATGGTGCTTCCTTGAAAATTTAGGTTTGTACTGTGAGGTTCTTCTGCATAAGCGTGATATGTATGTGGAGGAACAGTTGTTATATATGTATTAGGAGTGTGTACAATTTGTATAGGCTGGGACTAGGCCAAGGATTGACTTGGCCTGGAATGAATTGTTTCAGCCCAAAACCCGAATCAACCTAGTATTTAAATCCAATTTTTGACTTTTTTTTTTCTTGCCTTTTTGTTGGCCCAACACGACCAAACCCAATATGGTCAAGCTGGGTCAGTTTTACTAGGCCTATAGGGTCTATGCATGGCCCATAGATTATCTTGCTTGTTGTTCTTGAATTAACTGTCAAAATAATAATAACATCTTGTGTGGTCTATACAGTATCATGAAATGGCAGCTGAAGCCTTCTATTTGATGGCCATGGTGTATGACAAGCTGGGACAGTTGGAAAAAAGGGAAGAAGCTGCAACTTCATTCAAGAAGCATATTTTGGCTCTCAACAATCCTCAGGATAAGGACGATGATCCTCTTGTTTAGCATATTTTTTCTTAATATACCACTTATCCGAGGCTGTTCTATGAAGTTTCTTGGCTTGGAAGCAACCTAGCTAAATTGTTGTAACTTATGTTTTTATGTTTATTAAGCCATGGATGAATCAGTGTAAATCCTGGACTGGAGGTGTCTCTGAGATCTGGTGGTGTGACTGACTTGTGACTTGTGAGGAGCACAGAAAGTTACGAGAGAGGACTTGGCTTCTTCAAACCTTGACTTCTATGGTGTACTGAGAAAAGTCCTATATGCATTTGGCAACCTTGTGCGTGTTTGGTTGAAAGTGCTAATATTATTTGTGTATCATATTTTTCATTCTAATTTTTACTTGTTAGAAGAGGTCTTTGTCAGATTACGATTTATTGTTGTTGATGATAACTTTGATAAGAAGTTTTCTTACTAAGAAAGTGAAAGGGGAGAAAGAAGAAATGATAGGTTTCAACTTTGACTTATCGTTTGGTTGGAGGGAAGGATATAGTCTGGTGAATTTAATTTCTAAAAAATAGATAAGTGAGATTATAAAATTTTAATAAAGAAAATATGCGAATTAAAGAGTGGAGAAAATAAATTAAAATCTTTTAACTCCATTTTTATATGTTTATAAAACTGAACTTGTTAAAATCTCTCATTTCCTCCATTCCCCTCCAACCAAAAGGCTAGCACTAATTAACTTATCAAGTAACCAAAACCCATCAATACATTTCAATTATTAACATCAATATAAAATAAAATAATTAATAAATACTACTGTTTTTAAGTCATAAATAATATCATTTAATTTCAAGACTATAAGCAATATAATGAGTTTTTCCTAATTTTTCCATTAATATTATAAATTTAATATTTTTCTGTAACAAAATAAATTTAATAAATGTGTTACATGCAAATCTTGGATAATGGAAGTCATTACATTTGCGGTGGAGTTAATAACTAATTTGACAAGTAATTGAAGTTTAAACCCCCCCCCCCAAAATGACGTCTATTTATTTCCCCAAAAAAATTTTAATGTATATTTTCTGTTATGCCATCTCTATTTTCAATTTATGCAATGCTCTATTTGTCTCATCAATAATTGTTTTAGATTTTGGCATAAGGATTAAGAAACATATATAATAACTAACTTCATGTGGGATAAATTTTTTTAAAATTTTCCATATATTGTTTCTTAATTTATAACAACCATATATAAATTATTTGTTGAGACTAGACTTTGAAAAAAAGTATTTAATTGTGCATCCGAACTATAAAATGGGACAATTTTTTCTTTCTTTGTTTTTTTTTGGGGGGCTAAAACGACACTTAACATATATGGGATAGACACAGAGGAAGTTTGTTTTTATGGTTAAAAAAGAAAGCAAGTATTATGGGGTACTTCTTTTTATTCCAAAAATATTAGAACAATAATCTAATTCAAAGGGTCTGGAATTAAAGGAAAGAGAATTCAAATCAGGAGGCTAGTGTAGCTTTTTTCTAGGAAGAAAAGGAATTAAAGGATGTATGAGTAAAAATAAAAATTTATAAATTTTAGAAGATGTGTAATTATAACCAAATAAACTATCAAAAAATTTTTATTTTTAATTTACAAATATTTTCTTGAAACAATATGTTAGTATCATATACTATAGTTTAAATGCCAAAAAAAATTTATTTAATTTTTATAGTTTAAAAATATGTATTTAGATTAATAAACCAATTTTTTTAAAAAATAAATTAAGGTAAAATATATAATTCATCAAGAACATAATCTTTATCATTTTTTATAAATTTCATAACTAGATGCACTACCGTGCATTATATGAAGTCTAAAAAATGAGATTGTATTTTTATTCAAAACTTGTAAAAAGTATAATTTATTATAAATTTGATATTTTTTTGGTAAAATGCAAATTTTATATTTTATATTGATACTGATCGATTACAAAAGATAATGGACTAGTCAACATTAGTGGCTACTAAGATCATATTTAGCGTTTGAATGAGGCTAGTTCTCTTTGTCAATATTGACATGTGTTAAGAGCTTTAAGTCCAATTTAAAACTTTGCTTTTGAATTGTATGAAGAGAGAATGGAAAAAAAATTCATAAAATATGCAAATGATTAAAAAAATGCTGTAAAATATAATAATTACTGTATTAATAAACTTGATAAAATGAAATATATAGAAAACCATGACTACATAAGAATACAAAATACAAATTACAGGTACTTTTTTTCATAAGTAAAATGTAACATGTGGATGATAATTACTGCTTAAGAATTAGTAGGTGTCAACTTTTCTTCAATAAATAACTAAAACTTAATATCAAATTATAAGTGAATTTTTTTTTCCATTTCACGGTACTATGCAATAATTACCACCTTTTGGAGTACTTAGTTATCATTTACATATTTTCGGAGTTTTTTTTTTAATCTCCCTTGAATGAATCTAATCCGGCCAAAAAGAGAAGAGAAAATTTAAAATTGTGTTGATATTCCAAGTCGTAAAGAAAATTGATATTTCATTTATATTGTCAATTTTTCTATCAAGTATTTGTGCAATTTAACCAAACATATAATATTAATATTGAATATAAAAGTTATAGTAAAATGTGACACTAATCACAAGTCATAAAATGCGACTCATAATTCTTATTTTGGGTGGATGAATACTCACCTATTTAAATTATGATGCTTTTTATTGTTATAAATATTATTCCACAAGTACTTCGAATTCCTGGTCAAAGTTTTTCTAGGAAAATTAAATTGGAGTCACATTCAGAAACTTTCTCACTTACTTTCTTTTTTATTTTTATTTTTCTTCGGGTGAGTTTCGAGGGTGAAAGTGATACATGAGAACGCAAACGCAATTAACTAGGGATGAAAGTGACTGCTGCAACCCACATACACAGCTTTATATATCAATATTTGTAAGCTTGATATATTTAAAAGCTTGATATATCACCTATTTAAGAAATAATAGTTACTCCACGTGTTTAAAAAATATAAAACATTTTTATTTATTAATATGTAATTAATAATTTTTTAAAAATTTTTTAATAAATAAATCACTTAACCCTTCACTTTTTAATCAAATATTTTATTAAATAAGGATAAATATAAAAATTATAATTTAAAAATAATTAACTAATTTATTGATGGTATAATTCAGTTAAAAATATTTTATATTTTTTTAATGGAGGGAGCATATCCTTAAAATTATGAAAAAAATTATAAATTATAAATTATTCCTTTATTTACAATTAATAACTATAATAAATTATTATAAAAAATTTAAACAACGTTAAATAAATAAGAGATAAAATTAAAAAATTAATTAGTTACTTTAACTTTGTTTTATATAAAATATAAAAAAAGATCTTAAAATTTGCCTTATAGTAGTTATTTAAGGGAGTATATTTGAACAAACAATTTCCACTCAAGTGGTGGACATGGTTACTATTGAATTTTTATACAGAATAGAGTTTTATAAAAATACCGATAAAAAAGGTTTATTAAAATAGTTTTTAACAAAATAAAAAATTGTCTGCCAATATATCATAAAAAAAAAAAACAAGATCACTATACTAATTTAGTATTAATATTTTTTTGGTTACTCATGATATCTTAACAGTTGGTAGTCATAAAATTAATCACTCAAGAAATTTAAATGTCATTTAAGTGGTTGGCATCTTCTCTGTAATACTTTTTCATACACATCTTCAAGAACTAACTTCTGGAATTATGCTTAAATGGCCCAAATTGCTAGAATCTTTACCATACTCACTTAGTGTTGCCAATATATCAAAATTCAATTTTTTTTTTTTAAAATGTGTCTTATGCATTATCTGGGACTGGGAGGCGCATATTATGTGAGCCTCATTCATCTACTTTTTCTTTAGGGAGAATTTCTTTATAGGATCAAAGAGGTGACTTTATTTCAAATCAATTCCAAATGATTTTAAAATTACACTGCAAATTCAAATGATCAAATTAAAATTATGTTTCATAGAGAAATGATTAAAATGTCCTCTAATTAATTTTTTATAATACCTAAAGTCTCAAACAAGTAATATTATTAAAACAGCAAGTCAACTTATGATTATAACAAGTCTGCTTTATGTTGTTCCAAAATAATATTGAATATACAAAATGTGTATTGTAACAAATTTCTTTATTGAATTAATAAGTAACATGATCAAAATAACAAGTTAAATTATGATTTAAACAAGTGTACTTTATGTTATAACAAGTTAGTAAGATTGAATATGCAACGTATGTTGTTAATAGGTTCTTTTATTGAATTTACAAGTAACATTAATAATAAATCAAGTTAATGTTTTAACGAGCCTGCTTCATATAGAATCACATCTTTGGTCCTTTAATGGAGTTATCCCTTCTTTTTAAAACCTTCTTGAAATTAAGTATGCAAGATTAGGTAAAAAAATTAACATTAATTAATATAATTCAATTTAATTTATTACGTTCTTATATAAATGAAGTGAAAAAAACCAAAATTATTCCAGTTAGTAATTACCTGTTTTATATTTTATAAAAATGTGAGTTCAAGTCCCTTATTGTTAGTGTGAAGAAATTTTTAATAAAAAATCTCTTTTAAGTCTACAAGTACGACTCCATCCTAAAGTTAACCAATTTTATGTTTATTAAAGAATGGTAATTATATTCTTAAAATTATTAAAAAATAATTTTTAATTTTATCCTTTTTGTAATTGATAACTATAATAAGTTGTTTTTAAGAATTCAAATAATAATAAATAAGCAACGGGATAAAATTAAAAAAAAGCAGTAATTACTCTCACTTTATTTTATATAAAGGATAAAACAAGCTTTCAAATTTTGTCTTACATTAAAGATCAGCGTGAGTATTTTTTAACTCGTAAGATTCATTTAGACACTAGTAAATATCCCTTTAACCCAATTTTATTTGTACAATTATCTGAAATATGATATAATTATAGAGGTAGCTCATCTAACATTAATTTTGTTCATTAAGTTGAACAAAATAAGACTAGAAAAGTGGGGTGCGAAATTTAAGAATAGAGAGAAATATAGATAAATATAAAGGGAAGTTTTATCCCAATTGTCTCTGGTGAAAATATATATGTGCATAATAACAAAAAATAGGATTAATGATTAATTTTACCTTTGAAATGTATGTAAAAATTCATAAATAACTTTAAATTCAATTTAAAATTAATTTTGTCTTTTAATTTTAAAAATTTATTTTACTGTGCCCTTAACGTTATTTTCTCATCATGTGGGGCCCTACATTTAAAATTTTTAAAATATTTTTTGAATATAAAAGAACTATCTCCCC